TATTAATTTAAATTTAATGGGTGTTAAATGTTTTGTATCAAGATTTATTATTGAATTTAGGCATTTGCAATTGCAATGTATTCCAAAACGCACTGCATAGGTACGGTGTCCTCGATATATTGTGTAGATATGTATTTTCTCACAATAACATTTTCTGGGACTATTAATGTGCTACCATAAACAACAAACTAATTTTATCTATTATTTTATAATGGGAAAGCAGATAATATATTATTGGACGCATCTACAAGATCTAGAATTTCTGCATTGCACAAATCTCATAAGGTGATAAACCCACAAAATTTATTTTCCTAATATATAATAATCATAATAAGTTAACTGGTTTCACTTTTATTTTGCACTCTTAACGTTGTTATTTAGGTTAACTTAATTAACATATGACACCATAACCTCGGCTCGGCCAATTTATTATTCACTTTCGCCGAACTGTTATGGTTAAATTGAGTTCAATGTTTTTTTCTCTTTTTTATTGGAAAAAAGAATGTAAATCCCTAGATGCCTACATTTGCCATAAGAGTTCATGTTTATATTTTTAATTTCTCAAATCAGTGTCCACTCGTACGGTGTGATGGATAGTTAGATAAATTTAAGCATGGAGTAATGAGTTGAAATTTTGCAATAAATTGATAAGAAATTACTCCATCGTCAGAATGAAGTCTTCTACATTCTTCTATCATGAAATAAAAAATGTTTGACATAAAAGAAAGATGTCTGAATGGTGTCTATATAATCTGAAGTGATGATGAAAGTGGTGGATTTAAAAAAGTGAAGATAAAGAAAAGAAAAATATTAACATTATAGATATCTGCATTTGTAACCACAATATATCAAAATTATAGATGGCATCTATAATCAGATACAAGAATTTTGACACCATATTAGTCAAAATATGAAACAATCTGCACTGATACATCAGCAATATTTTGATTCTAATAAGAAGAAACTTGAGATTTTTATGATTCTTATGGCAGTCCCCATAAATATTAAACGGGAAGCTTTCAATCAATGTGTACGCTCACAGTCTTAACATGCGGGGCTGAAACACTATCTCTTCCGACGACCTCTGTAAGAAAACTACAAGTGACACAACGCAGGGGCTAAACTGGAGATGGGCCGGACACGTAGCTAGACTGAGGGATGGACGAAGAGAATCCTGGAATGGCGACACCGACTCGATGGACAAATGATCTCAAAAGAATAGCAACAAACTCGATTGCAATGGCTCAGAACAGGGAGGATTGAAGATGCCTTGAGGAGGCCTATGTCCAGAAGTGTTGCCATTCTCGTGGTTTTGCACAACTCGATTGTGCACCAACTCATACAATGCACCACTCATACCCAGAAAACGATATAGACCTCATGAACCAAAAACACCGAAGAAATTTGAAATTTTCACGAAATTAAAGCTTGATCTTTGCCAAAATAAAACTTAATTACTCTTCTACAAGCGCAAAAAACTTTATTACTAAATTTCTACACGTTTTTCCGAGAGAAAATTTTAAATTGGGCTAAAATTTTGCGATTTTATGGTACGAATTGGATGAGTTAAGTATTCGTCATATTCTTTTTCTGATATTTTTGGATTAGCTGATATTATTTTAGGATTTATTTTGTTTTTGTGCACATCATTTGTTATAAATTCTCGATGGTTTTGTCATAATATAACTAAAACTTGGCGTCTTGGAAGTGTTACACAACTACGTTATGATCCTGCATTATTTATTCTCGTGGATTAATTCAGAATTGAGAAGGATTTCTTTTACTTCGTAACTTCCTTGAACTTGTGCCAATACATTCTTATCAACGACCAAGTTGACATATTTTAAATTAAATTTTCGATTCTTTTATTTCTTATTATTCTAGTGATACTAATTAAAACATACTGCAATTAATTGATGCTTAGGGTTGGGATTAAAAAAAAAAGCTGACTAATTAAATATCAGCCTCCCTAATATGATTTACACCGTAGGTAGTTGGCAGAATGTCAAAAACTTTGGGTTCATTACTCTGCGCGGCGCGTCAAACGGTCCGTGACTAATTAACGGTTTATTTAATTAAATTCGAAGTCTTTTTCTCTCTCTTCTCTCTCAAAGTCCGTTTGTTCGTCGTGGAAATTTGTGTCGGGAACTGTTGGGTGGTCGTGGGGTCTAGACGCATAAATCGACGAATTAACTGACCTTTTTTTCTCTACCGAAAACAATGGCATAATTTGATTTGTCGAATCACGTCCCGACTATGGCGGAGAATTATATTTTATGTTCGCCTTTTAGCGAATGTTTACTAAACAACCCCTTTTAACTACCGTGACCTTCCAAAGAGCTTAAGCAATCCGTTTTACGATCGCCGCGAAAGAAAAAAAAAGGGAAAATTTTCACGAACCTCGAAAGTTGTGTTTTACGAACCGACGCGGCCTTCTTCCGGTGACTCTTCAACGGAATGGCCCTTCACTGATACAGTCTATCTCTCTCACCCCGTAGAACAAATGAGACCGTAATGACTTTACCGAAGACGCTTAGCGACCTTGTGTCAAAAGGCTGCAAGGGATTTATGGCCCGTATAAGTGCTCGTCATTTGTTTGGGATGGTAGGCATTTGTCTTTCGATTTCCACTTAAAATCGAACAGGCCACTGTTCGTTCTCGCTTTAAAGCTGACGTCTGGTAAAGCTGTTAGTGCCGTTGCCAATGGCAACATGTGTTCTTTCTGTTTTTATAGCAACATCTTAGAAAAGATGAATGTCTCTCTAAACTATAAAAGAACTTTACAATTTGACCCTGTTGACAACTTTGTGAGTTTTATTGTTGGGCATGGAGAGTTGGACAGTCGTAGAAAAAACAATAAACAAAAAAGTTCTTTATGACATTTCCGTTGAAATTACTACAATTACAATTTAAACAGGAAACTCAACCGGAAAATCTCTATTTCAATGTTAGAACAAGAAGTGGAAGAGCAAAAACCGTGGTGCATTGCAGTAAGAGCTATGGACACCCGCAAATATTTGCGGCAATCCCATCGCTTTCACACACTCACACGTACACACATAGACCGTAAGAGCTCCCTCGGTGGCGCGAGTACTAGTGTATTTCTGGCTACGTGAAATATTGCAGAGGCTGGAAAATATTTTCGACCAACACCGCACGCGGCTTGACTGCAGATGAGATTTTTCCGATAAACCGAATCTCGACCTGTTCTATTTTCGTTCTCGTTAATGGAACTGAGGATTGGGAACAAAAAATAAAGCACGAAGAAGGAAATTTTTAATCTTATTTATACACGGAATAGATAAAATCAATAAAAATTATTTTAGATAATGTAAAACGCCTTTTATGTAACAATGAAAAATTTACAATAAATATATCACTACAGTAATACCTCAACTAACACGGGGAAGCGTGTGTTCGTTATATAAAAATATTTTTAATTTGCACTTAATTTTAGTTGTTATGCAGACAGTTTCTGCATAACAACTAAAATTAACACTACCATTAGAACTAACACTAGACGTAGAACTAAAAGATGGATAAACCGGAATGTTTCTAGTTCTATGTAGGTCTAGTGTTAGTTCCACTTTTACGTCAATAAAAATATACAACAACCTATCTCTGAATAGCAGCTAAAGCTAGAACTAACACTAGACCTAGAAACATTTGGGTTTAGCCGTCTTAAGAGACGTACGGATAAACCCGAACGTTTCTTGTGTTAGTTCTAGTGATAGTGCAATACTAGAACTAGCACTAGAACGAGAACTAGAAACATTCGGATTTAGCCGCACGTCTCTCAAGACGGCTAAACCCGAATGATTCTAGTTCTAGGTCTTGTGTTAGTTCTATATAGTGATAGTGCTAGTGTAATACTAGAACTAGCACTAGAAGGAGAACTAGAAACATTCGGATTTAGCCGCACGTCTCTTTAGACGGCTAAACCCGAATGATTCTAGTTCTAGGTCTTGTGTTAGTTCTAGTTTTACTTTAATGAAAAATATACAAAGTTCATCTATATCCGATATAACAAAGTTTTACTGCATCTATATTTAGTTGTATATAATTTGTGTATATGTTTATAATGTTGTTGCTATATTACTAAAAGGGAATGTTCACACAATAATTGATGTACTAGATGGAAGAGGGCGTCAGGGTACCTATCCTATCGTTAATTAAACAAGGAATTTATAATTGTCGGCGTAATTAATTTCGAACGCTTAAGAAAAAGCGTGACGATGGCTGCGCGGCTTCAAGAAACATCTGTTAATTACTGTTAATTATCGCGACCGGGTCGCAGTCGAGCCGGTCGTAAATCACCAAAGCGACCTCCTTCACCGACAAGAGGTCGAGGGGGGAAAACAACAAACAACAAACGTTCTTATTGTGTTAATTGTCGTGTTCAGAAAATGGAGTGACGGAAGCTTAAAATATCGTCATCTCTTTTCATCCTGATCTTAAACCGGTCATGTGGTCTACGAAATCTGCGGATCATGTAATAAGAAAAGTGATGCATGGTTGGTATCCCATAGGGCGATGTAATGGCGCTTGCGTTCTCCGCAGGTGTACACTCGACTTAAGACGCCGATAAATCATCGCGGACACGTCTGGGTGTCACCTCTGGGGGGCTGCCGCTTAAGTTACAAGCTAAAGCCATGGAGGGCGCTGGTAGCTCGACTTCTCCAGGGACTGATTTATTACAAAAATTCAAGACTGAAAGTATTCCAACGGGATATTTTAACGTGAAGATTAATCTATGGGTCGCAGCCGCGTCCAGGGGATGACTACATTAGAAATTGTAATGGCTAATGGTCGATTTATCTCACACTGGGCACAATCGACCCTAGCAGTCGGTGGCTAATGGAACACGCTGGTTCTGAGAATTGTTTCTTGCCTGCCTGCTAATTTGAATTCGCTTGCTTAAGGTTCGTGAGTTTCTTCGATTTTAACAGTACAACTTTTTTTTGTTTTTTCATTTATTTTGAATGCTTAATAATACTTACCGGTAATGCATCGCAAGTTTCAATTGGTAGCGGATCTTCAGTACAATATGTGGGGTCGGCAGATTGAAGAAAAGGGGGCCGCGGCGGTGGTGGTAGCATAAACTGGGGAGGTGGAGGGCCAGCGCAATCGCACTCAGCGCCCCCTGCAGTGGCGTCCATGGACCACATGCTTTCGCCTTCGACGCCTGGCTCCTCAGTGGTGCGATGGAAGTCTGGTGGTCTGGCCATAGACCCTCGCGCCCGATGAGGAGGATCAGAACAGGCGGTGCTGCAAAAAAAAAACAAAGATACAAATACTTACACATAGTTTAGCCGAGAGAGAGACGGCGAAATGGGGAGGTTGAAATGGAAAAGTAAAGGTTGATTTAGAGTCGCGAGACGTGCCCGTTATTTATAGGTGGACAATTAACGGCCGGTACGGCGTAAATTACGGTCGAAGTGGCCGGTTTTAACGGCCGCTCTTTCGGATTATTATTGTAAATCTTCATGGGGTTTTTGGTATGGGCGGTTGTAACTTGGAACCGACGCGTAACGTCGCGTCGCGGTATAAATAGGTTGTGTACGGGTTAGAATCGAAATGACGGTAGTATAAATTCCGTAATGTCGTGGGGAAACAAAAGGCAGGATAAAAATAAAATCGGCCGTATGTTACACTGCTGTTACTAGCAATTACGATTAAAATAAAATTAAAAAAACTGAAACCTCAAAGAAACAGAAGCTTTTTAATTTTTAACAATGTAAGTCTAATTTATATAAGAGTGAAAAGCTCAACCATACATTATCTGTTGTAAGAAGAAATTCAATTTCTGCCACGTATGATTAAAACAAATAGGCAGGTACTAGACCGTTCATAAGAAAGAATTAAGCGGAACCTGACGTTACCACACATGTGCACTTCTTCTACTGAGCAATTAGCTTAGAACCGACGTCTTGGCAAATGCAATATCGTTTTTACCGGGATAATTATCGGTTATTACGCCGTTCGACCGTACACGTTATTATACAATTACAGTATTTATCTGTATATACCATCGGATCATTAAGATTCCGCGAGCGATTTACATTGAGCTCCATTAGACGTGACCATTTGTAAAATAACTGCGCGTATAATAACGAACTAAACTAGAATCGATTGTAAATAATCGAAAATAAAAGTTTAAACTTTAATAAATGATCTGAAAAGAGGTTGAATTCTGCACTCCCATGGGATGTTTTTGTCTTATTTTCTAATTAGTTACGGTCGGCAAAACGACCAGAATCCGTTAGTCGTTACAGAGACACCAGAGTTATTTATTGTAACTCAGAAAATATGATGCATAAGGTATACAGTTAAGCAGGAAGTCGTTACGTTCGTTTGGCTTTCTTCTTTGATAACCGGTGTGATTAGTATGAAGAGAATTAATTCGGTTTGCTAAAGTAAATGCGTTTTAATAATGAGATTAAATGTTACAAATTCAACGGAAGTTATTTAATAAGAAAATGAGAAAAGAAAATAAAAATTTAATGGATTTTCAGTTATATACTTGAATAATTTAATATACCAAGTAATTACTAACTTGCAAGTCAATATTTTAGTCACTAATTGGAACAATATTTAAAATTTATTTATTAGAAAATTTTTTTGTTTCCTGTTCATCAAATATAAAAAGTATACATATATCTCAACATTTGACATGAGATATCAAACTAAAATAAAATAAATTTTTTAACAACTTTTGTTTTAATACTAGTATTTTTGGACACAACCTGTACATTAATTTAAATCAAAAAATTCATATTTCCTGAGACATCAAACTAAAATAAAATGCAATTTAAACATCATTGGATCTACCAAAAACTGTTTTTTAACACCGCATGAATCGGTTCCAATACTTTTTTGAACACTATTCTTTATATTAGAGGATGTGTCGAAAAATTTAAATTTAAAAAAATCATATCTCAAGAACTAAATGAGATTGCAAACTGAAATAAAATGCAATTAACAGCAAATTTAAACATCATTGAATACACCAAAAATAATTTTGAAACACCGCATGAGTCGGCTTCAGCATTTTTTTTAATACAACCTGTATATTAGAGCTTAAATCGATAAATTCTAATTGAAAAGAATCATATCTCAAGAACTAAATGAGATATTAAACTGAAATAAAATGCAATTTAAAGCAAATTTAAACATTATTGGATCTACCAAAAATAATTTTTTTACATCGTATGATTCGGTTCCAGCATTTCTTTGAGCACAATCCTGTGTATTAGATCTTATGTCAATAAATCGAAATTTAAAAAAAATCATATCTCAAGAACTAAATGAGATATCAAACTGAACTAAAATGTAATTTAAAGCAAATTTAAACATCATTGGATATACCAAAAATAATTTTCTAATACCGCATGGGTCGGTTCCAATACTTTTTTGAACACAATCCTGTATATTAGAGAATGTGTTGATATTCAAATTGAAAAAAGCAAATCTCAAGAACTAATTGAGATATCAAACTGAAATAAAATTTTATGCAAAGTTAAAGCTGATTGAATCTACAAAAAATACAGGTTTTTCTAATTCTTAAGTAATAATAAAAATTTTCACTATTTACTATTCTATTTGCAAATATTTATTTCACTAATCAGAGTAAGTTTATTTTTAAAGAAACATTTATACAGTAAACTGAAAGATTATGAAGAAACTCGTGTTGAAATTGCGTTTGCTTCCTGTGCACACGAATGAATCATTAACCGAACTATTACAACATCCAAATATGTGGCAAGTAAATATAAAAATCTGACATCAAAATGATAACCGTCTTTACTCTTAGTAAGTTATCTTATGTTCAACCGATATCTTATCGATTAATAAATGTTTGTGTCACATTTTCCAATGAACGTCTAAATTAAAGTACTAGAGAAATCTTACCTGGTAAAAGTTTAAAATACAATTGAAAGTAGGGGACACATTTCAATTTTTATTCAAAAGCTTTTCATCTTTTGTGTTTGTCATGGAGCTACCGTTTTTGGTACCTTATTCGTGTTGGTTCAGATGGTCCAGGCGGGACGGAGTTTTAAATTTTGTATTTGAATACCCAAATAACTCAACAAATATTATTCGTGTTTGCATTTTGTATTTACAATCCTCGTGCTACGTTGGTGGTATGTCAGAAATCACATGTTACCACTAATTGATAACATAATCTTCAAAACAAATTTAGAGGATTCGTCAAAATTAAAATTTCGATGTTGTATGGTTATCTCATAATAATTAGTCGGTTTGTATTAAACCTTACAGAGCTTTAAGAACTGTTTATGTTTATAGTTTATAGCTTCTGCGTTAATAACTCGCCATAAAAATGAACATAAAGATTAGATTGATGGTCTCAACACGTGCAGTTAAGAGATATCGTGTTGTAGAATATTTTAACGGAGTTAACATGGTATTTCTAGTGAGTAATGAACGATAATATGATATGATGAGTTTGTTTGTATTTAAATATTTGTGTTTAATTTTTCGTTCATAATTTTTGAGTAGATAAGAAAAGTTGTCGTTAAGAAGAGAACGTTAACAGGTTCATAAACCTTTTATTTTTGCAATTATAACTCTCAGCTAGACCAGTAATGGCTTAATTATGAACCTGTGCAGTTGGGTGGTCCAAGACCGTTGAATGGAGCGATACTTCACCAGTTTTATCTTTATTACTTTATTCGCGAACCGAGTTAATGCGCTATTGTTGAAGTCGTTTTGTTCTACCAATCATAACTTTTTATAAGAGGTTTATTATATTTTTTTTATTGATCTACTTACTTAGCGTATCATAATTTCATGTAGATTAAATCCAACAAAAAACAAAATGTTCATCTTCGAAACTTTTAATGTAACACTTCACGAAACACAAAACATAATATAAAGAAAAAATATAAATAATTAACACCAAATACAAATTAAGATTGTATTTAAAAAAAGAACACAGTGGAAGATATATTCTTGGATTTGGCAGGAAGTAATCCTAAATTAGCGTTGATAGCCTCGACGGAAGCGGTCTTATAAACAAGGAACCGAATACGAAACAGAAAACTGCAATAATCCGGTTTTATTGTGCCGACCGCACACTGAGCTTTCGTGCTTACGTGATAGGAACTAAAAAAAGCTCGTCAACAACCGACGTCTATTCATGGAAACGGAATGGAAACTAAGCTCGGTTCGGCATCACGAAGGCAGCTGCACGTTTCCGTGGCCCCACTACCAACCGTCCGACCAATAACGTTTTGCCCTCGCCTGGAGTACTCCGAACCGAGAATGGAAGGGATAATAATGTCATTAATTCCTAATTTACAGTAGTCCAAGTGAGTTCTCAGGTATACCTTAATCACATAAGAAGAACCTATACTTTGATTCTTTTTATATATTTTTTTAAAACTTTTTATTTGTGATGTGCGGATAAGAATGGGTCAAACTGGGCTATAAATCGAAAGGTTCGATCCGATTATGCCAGTTTTACATCATTTTTTTTTCATTTTTCGAACGTCGTCAGATCGCTTTTAAAGATGATGACCGTTCGATAGTGTCCTTTTGTGTGTAATCTGATGGGACCTCGTACGGAACCTATCAAAATATTTTGAACTGTGACTTGTAGATGTTTCGGGGTGTGTTATCTGGTGCTGTCAAGAACGTGAATGGGCTAATTAAAATTTCGATTGTCGGATCACTGTGATGGATCATTTCGCTTTCGATATCCTTTCTTTTTTTTTTGCGGTTGGATTGATATTTCGAACTGGATTATTAGTATTATTACGTAAAGAGACCTCTTTTATTTTACGTAACCAATTTCATTTTGGAAAATTGGTCTTGTTATGGGTAATCACGAAACAGTTTATGATATCACGATTTTATTACACAATTTCTCTCCCATCTATAATAATAACAATAATGAATTTAAGTCACGCTATAACCATTTAACTTAGAAATTTATAAATTTAAAGTGCGCTGAATAATAATTAAAACTAAAACTACCGTCCATGATTTATACATCGTATAGACAACTCGGGGAATACCCCGACATTATCTATGAACGTGGAATAGAGCAACTTGGGGAATAACCCGAGTTTGATTCTATCTATAGGCGTTAACATTTATATTTAAATATTGTGATGTATTAAATAAATAATAGTACTTGAATATTTTGTTCGTGATATCCGAAGTTCGTACTAACGAGGACCGTTATATCGAGGTTTTACAATATTAAGTGATAATAAAAAAGCAGTTCATAAAGGTTCAAATAAAGATACAAAAAAAATCATTGTTGTACCAACATGGTCGACGTTTAAATTCAATACAAAGGGATCATTATTAAAATTTGCCGAACACCGTTCAGTACAAAACCCCCAACACGTCCTTCCCGTGTCCACTCTTTGTCCCAACTCGTCCGGTTCGACAAAAGCTTCGAGATCGGACAAAAGCTCTACGATTCTCGTTCACGTGTTCCGACTTTTGTCCCGCGTCGCGTCATCGCCTGTTGTACGGGAATGGCAAAGAGGAGAAAATTTGTAACGATTTCGCGTTATGTGTCGTCACGATCTGACCTGCGGTGTTCGTTTTGTCCGCGTAATCGCCGCGGCCGCTTTAACTCTTGTAGTGTGGTGTATATGTATATAGGAAAGGGTTTACGCTGTCGGCTGACGCGAACACGACCGGAAAACACGGCGGGCTCGATTGTGTGTTAACGCGGAAAGTTCGTGAAAGTTAGCCAAAGCCGTTGTGAGTAATGTCCATGTTATATAGTATTTGGAGACGACTACAAACACACCACACTGTTAAAAACGAAAGTTAACAGATTTCGTTACATATTTCAGAGAAATATAGAAAAAGAATTGGTAATATTCAAAAATATGTTACTAAATTATTATAGAACATTCTTAACAATGATACAAAGTTATTGAGATTTAAATAGAAATCATACGATAACAAAATAATAGATATATTTATAATGTCAGTTTTGTTCTGAAAAATTAGGATACATCGAAGTAAATAGAACACCTTTTATGAGCTTTTCTTTTATAATTTTTCAGGGGACAATCTCTTTTTAAAGACCAGCAGTAGTCTGCCATCATGTGACAATCCCATGATACCTTTCCTCGATCACTTTTAGATCCTGGTGGAACCACTCTCTCTATTCTTCACTATAATTTCCTAAATTATCCGGAAATTTATCCAGATGATTGCGGAGATAGTGTAATTTGATACTCATATTTGCTCCTAGAGTCTGAAAGTTTTGTCAACTAGGAAATTTTCGACTACCAACAAAGTTTTTCAAGCTTTACTTTCCGGAACATTCATACCTTTAATAAATACTGTGTTTTTCACAATTGCCGTATTTGAGGACCATCAAATATTCCACCTTTCAACTTTTCCATACTAAGCTTCGGAAATTCTACAAATGTAATTAAAACAATCTCCCTTCTTGTCCAACGCTTTTACAAATTGCTTTATCATTCCTAACTAATATGTAATGGTGGAAGTATGATTTTGCTCACCAACGGCTCCCTTATTACATTGGTTTTACTGACAGTTAAAGAATTTCTTACAGGCCAAACATCTTGTTCCTAATGAAGTTGCTTTGCTCTACTGTCCCACATACAAATGAAGCAAGAGCATTTCGTGTATCCACTTTATTGACCACATAAAAAATTAACCATTTTCAAATCCACACAAATCGGTCATTGATGCTCCAAGTAATTTTTTCTAAAACTAATTTTACTTCCATTCTGCAGTAAGACGTATTTAAAACTTTTTTTACAACTGTCATTTAAACCCATGTCTAGAAGCACCTTCGCGATATCATTACAGTACACCAGTCCTTCATTTTCATTAAAAAATTGTTACTGTTGGAGCCAATAAATTTTTTTCTTTCAATCTTGAGGCTAACAGTTCTGAACCTAGTTTTGATAAATTGAGATCACGTATTAAACCAGTGAGTTCATTTTGAGAAAATAACTTCGGCGTAGATGTTTCACCCTCGCATTCACTTCCACTGGTAGACTGTCCCGATTTCTGTGAATTTGGCAACATCATTGTTTCTGAGGGCATGCGAATTACTTTTGAAACGTAAATAGGCCGAGGGAGATTTTCACTGTGTAGAATAGGACATTTTGTAGACTGTAAGTCTGGATATCTCCACGTTTGATTTCGATTAAAACCTTTAGCATCTACTACGCAAAAGTAACAATCATCGAAATGATTCTTAGGCTCCATCCAGATCATGGGAATACAAAAGCCTAATCCAGAACGGTCTCCTTTTGTCCACAACCGTAAAGACTCAACACAGGACTTACAAACTTTATGATTTATCTAGTTTGTCCATTTTAAAACCGAAATATTCAGCATAAGTCTCCTCGACAAAGTCTGTGATATTTCTTTCATTTCAAATCACTACTNTAAAGATTCAACTCAGGACTTACAAATTTTTCGAGGAACCCATGATTTATCTAGTTTGTCCATTTTAAAACCGAAATATTCAGCATAAGTCTCCTCGACAAAGTCTGTGATATTTCTTTCATTTCAAATCACTACTATATTTACACTTTCTTCGTGACGAACCCATGTTTTAAAAGACAAGACAAATATATTAGAATGGATATTCAGTAATTGAAACAAAATATTAACACATGACAACTTATCCAGATTCACGTGTAAGTACTTTAATATTGTCAAATAACTGTGATCTCAGCTGTTCTGCGGAGCAAGGGGTCTGAGAGTGGGGATCACGTGATGTTTGTATGTGCGAAAAACTTGCGCAGAAACCTAATCAAAGGAAAATAAATTTTATTACTAACAAGCCGATAATTGTTCAAAATATAAGATATGTAAAAATCATAAAAAACAAGAGTACATTCAGTACTTTCATGAATATATTTGTAATCTGGGCACTTCAAAACATAAAAATTTGCAAACATATACCTGGCAACAAAAAAAATTTTTTTTGTTGTAGAGCTGTGTAATAAATACAATATTGTTTGAGTTAGTCACAAATTTACAATTAAACACATTTGAAATATGACACTTTACTTGTAACACTAGTTATTATTGAACCTTTCCGTAATTTTATTGAAATATAAAACTTATAATTATACATAGTTGCTATCTATATACTAAGAAGAAGTGAGTCTTCGAACTTGTTTCTGAAGAAAGTTGCAACATGGCATCCGAAACGTTAAACGTTTTTTCAAAAAAAGCACGGCTTCACCCGAAAGATTGTAGTTGTAGGTTTAGTGTTAGTACTAGTGATAGCGCTACTGTTACTTCTAGTTTTAGTTTAATTAACACCGGCCGTGAAAGCCTTCGTACTAATAATTCCCAGAATTATTGATCTTTATTAATTTATTAAGAAATTGTTATTGTTTTTACCCTCGAATCTCTTATAAAAAAGTGTGTGTTATTCCATAAACAAGACATCGATGTGGTTGGAGCAGGAACTTGTTGGACACACCAAATGCGGCCGTTACATTTTTTTTTATTGGCTTATTCGATAATTTAGCAAAATTGAAGACTTCTATAATTTTTTATTTATCAAACTCGGCTTGAGTTTTTCCAAAAGAAAATTTGAAAAAACTTTGGAGATGTCACCGTCGTTTCGCACGCGGTTGGTTGAAATAAAAATCAATAAAAGGTGCATGAGCGAGATGCCACGAGAATCTTATGCGGTAGAAGAAGAGATCCGAACGATACACGTTTGCGTCTTTTTGATCTTACGCGAAAACTTCGTAAACGTCATCAAAGCTTTTATAGAGGGGATTTTGAATTTTAATATTAATTATTGCAAAAATTAAACAATTTTAGGATTTGAAAATGTTACCAATTTGATTGAGGGTGATGACCCCATTGTTGCTGATTTCGTTTTTTTTCTCTATATTAATTTTATATAACTGTCATTTTCATATTAATAATTATTATTTTGTTAGTTTTGATATCAATCACTTTCACAGATACAGATATGCTCCGATCATTGATTAATTTAGTTTACAGCAAGCTGTCACTTCTGCCAGTCATGTTACATTTATTTCTTCCAACTTAATTGATTACATTATTGCCGTAATATATGCATCAGTGAAGCAATCTATTGTAATCGATTTCCATGATGTATCGGACCATTGCCCTGTTTATATTGCACTGTGCTTAGATGTATCAGAATTTCCGAATGG